GATCGGCCGTGGAGGACCAGTAGCCTGGCCTCCACGATCCCCTGACCTAATTAGGTTTCTTTGTGTAGGGATTTATAAAACAAAAAGTGTTCCTGACTCCCGTAACCACAAGAGATAGGCTAATAGACAGAATCAGGAATGCATGTGATGAAATAAGGCCTTATTTGAATAATGCTATACCACGTTCAATCATTCGTAGATGTGAATTGTGTATTGAACAATTGGGTTTACATTTCGAGCAACTACTTTAGATTTTGTATGTTTGTCCTATCTGTCCAATAACATTTTAGTTGTAAATAATTAATTTAATTTGTTAAAAATAATATTGGAAAATTAAACAAATTAATATTCTGTTTTTTTCTGTGTTTATTTGGAGTTAGGAATTATTGCTGTGTTTAAAAACACAATCTAAACGATCATCTTAATTACTTGTAATGCCCAAATCGAAAATGTAAAAAAGTATTATTTTCCCATAAATAATTAAAAATGCATCGAACCTTAAAAATCGAAATATCTCAAAAACGGCTAACTATAACGAAATCTCACAGGAGAGCTTTTTTATGTTGAAAAGTGCGAAGAATCAGTTTTTTTATTCAAATAGCAAAAAATTGTACCAAGAAAAATTATTCGGTCATTTTAATACACTACAGGTTCAGTAGAGAGCGCCCTCTAACGGCTACAGTATAACTATGTCCATGGTTTGTTTTGTCGTACCAAAAAACCCTTGTATACCAATTTTCACTGTTATATATCAAATATTGTTCGAAATATTTAAAAAAAACTATTTTAGAAAGTAAATTTAAACACCCTGTATTTCGGAAGCCACGCAATTTTTGAACCATGTTTATATAGACTTTATGAATTAATTTTAAAAGTTTTATCGAATCTTATGCAACAATAAACTGAAGCACCCTGTATAAATCTTACCTTAACCCTTAAGTACGATGGCGGGGTAAAATTTGACCCTCCACGTTTTGTATGCCAAGTTTCGCTACTGAAATATACAGGGTTAGTAGAAAAAAACGAACGTTGGATTATCTCAGCAAATGTCAAATATAAATAAACCAAATTTTGTACAAAGGGGTAACTCAACATGAAGAGTTCAAAAATTATATTTGCATGGTTGCCAAATTTATAGTTTTCTCTCTAGATTTTAAAATTTTAAATGGAATACCCTAATTTTTATTATTGTAATCAATTGCCTGCAACGACTTTATTATGACCTGATATTATCGTTATTTTACTCCTGTCAATTTCGGAGAATGCCATCATTCTTCTTTTGAAACGAATACAAAAACGACAAGGTATGATCAATTATCTCGAAAACGATCCAACCGAAATTTGTCAAAATTAGTACAGGGGAGTAACTGGACATTTTAAATTCATGAATTGTATTTGCGATCTTTTCAAGCTTCTAGTTGAAAAAATTTTAGGAAAGGGAATAAGGAAATTTAATTATCAAACAAGTAAATATTGGTGCAAAATATTAACATATTATTCAAAAATAACATAATACCTATCTACTTAATCATTAATCAGGTGCTCAAAATGGCTACCATCGTTGGCTAAACAATATCCGAGGCCGATCGTAAAATTCTGCCAAAGTATTCGATAAGATGTCTGGAGTCATTTGTGCGGCTTCATTCAAAACATTTACAACTAAATCGTTGGACCAATCTTTATAAACTCTGTTCTTCAGAAAACCTCAAAAGGAGAAATCTTCAAGGAAATTTGTTATTTAAAAACTTGATGACTCCTCTGGAGAAATGAGCTGGAGCTCCATCATGCTGGTACCAAATTTCGTCCATATTTTCATTTAAATTTCTAATTTCGGGTATTATGCGTTGTCTAAGGAGATCAAGATATTTTTGTCCCATCAAATTGCCATCTATGAAGAATGAACCAATGACATGGTTGCCCAAAGTTCCCGCCCAAACATTAACTCTTTCCGGGTATCGAGTTTGAAGTTCCAGAATCCAGTGAGGATTTTTCTCTACTCCAGAATATGTAGTTGTGTTAAGCAGAAAGTGGCTTCAACGCTGAAAAACATTTTTTGTGGAAATTGGGGTTGTTGTTTATCATTTCCAGCATATTTTCTGCGAACTGAGCTGGACGGTCTGGATCATCTTCTTGCAGTTGGTGGAGGTAAATTATCTTGTAGGGTTTGAGTTTTTCATCGGTCAAGATATTTCTGACCGATTTCTGACTTATTCGCGAATTAAGGCCTAATTGTGTGGTACTTGTCCTTGGGTTTTCTTCGAGTTGTAAAAGAACGTTTAACTTATTCTCATCACTAGAAGCAGTTTTCGGTCTCACTGATCCAGGTTTTCTTTTCACTCCGCCGGCTTTCTTACTGTCCTGCAGATGGTAGATTTCTTAATTTGTTTTTCGGGATATAGCGCATTAAACAACATGCAGACTTCTTGATAATATCTTTGTTTATCTCCATACCCTCAAAAAATAAGAATTTCAATTCGCTGTTCTTCGTTAAGTACAAATGTCATAATAACGCAATATTTGTCACTTTTGAATTGTTTTGACATTTCTGATTGTTATGGTTCTGAAGTCTCCATGACGTTACAAACAAATGAATAACACGCCTTCTTGTTTATTTTGGAAAACAAACAAATGGATGATTTCTCAATAAGATGCCAGTGTAAGGAATGAAACAAAGCGAGATTCTATATCTCCGAAATTGACATCAGTAAAAAAGCGATAATATCAGGTCATAATAAAGTTGATACGGGCAATTGATCACAATAATAAGAATTAGGGTATTCCTTTTAAAATTTTAAAATTCCCTAACCTATAGAGAAAGTTATAAACTTCAGAGTTTTTGAACTGAAATTCATGAATTACTATTGACTTGTTTGGAAAGAAGAATACAGCAAGAATGTGTGGAATTTGGTATTATCATTTGAAAACTATTTCATATAGCCTGATGTTCTTTCAGTGATAACAGGAACAAAAGTTATATTTTTTTTCAATAAAAATCGGAGATCTCGGTTAACTCGAAAACCGTAAGACTTTGAACTAAGGTATTTTTGGCCTAAAAGATTCTAAATGGTCTGCCCTATCACCTTCCCAAGACTTTGTATCGACCTTCCAAACACCCCGTATAGTGAATTTCATATTTCACAAATAAAAACATAGCACCAGACTGGAACGGATGTTGCCATGTTGCATATAGCATTGTCAAGTTAAAACTACGATGTAAATATATGAAACAACGGTTCTCTTTCACTCATTTCAGATGTATGTGCATGAGCGAGTAGCAGCTGCGTTGACAATACGGTTGCGTAGTGTGCAAATTTCCCTTAGGGAGGTTAAGCACAGCACATGACGCAATTAGTAAATCTGTTTACTTATTTCGTACGGCATTGTCACTCATCCGCGAAAAACCGTGGAAAGTAGGTGGTATTCTGTGGTTACGGGCAGACGCCCGTCAAACCTTTCAAAGAAAACATTCGTCATTGGTGCGAAATTGTACTCCACGCTTCCTTTAAACCCACTATATGCACACGGCTGTTTAAGCTTTTCAGTTCCGGTATGTGCCTAGGAATAGTCGTGCGGCATTGTACGCGTCTCGAAAGGAAACGTGATCCTGGAGCAGTTCCGTTGAATACGTGGCGCTATCTGAATAAGGGAATCATCCCTTTCTGTGGAACGGCGTTGTACTCATAGAGTGCACATACTGTTAATCATTATAATATTCATTCATGAATATTTCGACTCCTTATATTGATATTGAATCGGTATGGAAACGTTCGTGAATAGAAAATGAAGGCTAGTATGCGTAGTTTCTTAATTGAGTTCCTGTTGATCCCTTTTTGACCCTTTTGATCATTGGAAAATTAATGTAGGATAGGTCATGGCTAACACATACATATAATTTACCCTTCACTAAGCATAAGAAAACGTACCCTTGCTATATCTTTAGAAAAATGTGAATAAGCGTTATTAGAGGCGACACGATATTGTGATTCAAAGTATAAAGAAGTTGTTACTCTCTGCTATTGCATTAGTAAGAACATTAAAAAAAGTTTGGATAAAATATTGAATATACTGGGTGTCCAGGAATAAATTTTCCTTTTTAAAAGCTAATAAAAAGTTGTCTTGAACTTTTAAAATTAATTTGCTGTTGTCGAGATGCCTTCCATTTTGGTCGAAACACTATGGCAATGCCGTCTCCATGTGGTTAAAAACTGTAAAAATTCAGGTGTAATTGCAGACCTCGGTGCAAAAACCAGGTAAGTCAATTTTTATCAAAAATTTAGATCATTGCGGATCGTGTGGTGCTAAAATCGAGTAAGTCCAACGCATCTCATGTGAAACAGGATTTGATTTCACTTGCCTGGTCAAGTATTGGTAGTTTAAACCAGGCAAGTCCCCTATAAAAAAACGCATAACGCTGCCCTGAAAAATGGCCATATCCATATTCCCAATCAATGGAAAGAACTAGTAAGTTCAGCTTGAAAAAAGTTCAAAGTTGTAAACGTCAATCAGAACATGATCATGGATTTTGCAACACAGCTTAAAGCTTTCTTAAATCTGTTTTTGTTAGCAAAGAAAAAGATAAGTTGAGCAATTCAAGCTACAAACTTTTTCAGTACCAAAAAGGACTCAAAAATGTGGAATGGAGTATTGCGATGTCCATCCTAGTTTTTTCAAGGCTTTTTATTAAAAAAAAGAATGTGGTATTGTGCTTTCCAAGTTCACATATAATACAACCCTATCATTTACCTCTTAATGAAAAAAATGCTGCTGATATTTAACCTTTATCGGAAAAAACGATCTGTGGTGCGCTATAGAAAGATCTTCGAAGAATCCGAAAATCTTGTAGTTTCACAAGAAATAGTTGGTGCAGGTAATAGGGCAGCAGCGGTGGCCGCAGTAGTAGACTCTTCGATCTCCTGATCAGGCGCCGTGCGCTGTGCGGGTTCGAATTCCGTCAAAGGAGAAATTTTTCTCTTGGCTATGGATGTTGTGATTGTCCGTAGGTGGTAGACGGTCTCTGACTGTCGAACGCGGAGGTACCACCCGACGGATCTCGTAGGCGGGGCCAGAATGTGTGCATGCTGCATGCACACGTGTTCCCTCGCCAGAGTCCGTGTGGCGCTCCCCCTTTCCCCTGTACCCCCCTATCGCCCCACGGTATCCCATGGGTGTTTAGGCCTTAGGCCTTCGTGGTGGTTGGAGTATAAAAAAAATAACGCTTATGACTCCGATTCATCATTTATGTAATTGAAGATTTATTTTTGTTACCCCTTTTTTAAGTTGTTTTGGTTTTGTTCTCTTTGATTATTAAAACTGTTTGACCTATTTTCAATATTATTGAATAATATTCTGGGCAAGAACCAAGTCTTAATTTTAACAAAAAATATTAAATGTTTGGATTCATGTTTTCTCTGTACCCTAAAAAAATGTTTTTTTTTTCATATTTGCAGATTTATTAATTTCCTAAAACAGGTTTTTTATTACCTTCTCTATACTCTAAAATAAAATGTAATTTTTTCATATTATCAAAACAAAATATTCAGTAGGTCTTACATAGTGCGTGACGACCTTGGAAGAGTTTTAAGAAGAAACTCTTCATTTTTAAGACATTCTCCTAACGAGTGTCCTCCAGTACAATCTTAAGATGAATTTGATAATATTTGGTCTGAACCTTGCTCCTCAAGAGCAGCAGAGTCACGAAGTAATGATTTCGAATCCAGTGATTATAATGAACCAACAACTGTTTAAACCAAGATTGTATCTAGTAACCAGAAGTGTAACAATAAACCCTATGTAAACAACAATACTTTGAGAACAAGATCCGGCAGAGTTGTGAAAAAAGCGGCCAGATACAGATAGTAGTTTAAGTATCCATCCAATGTGAAGTAATATTTTAAATTTCATGCATTAATATGTAAAAAAAACAATCTTGAAGCGCCGCATGAGCTCTCGCTCTCTTAAAATTTAGACGCCACTGGTGCATGTACGTATTAAGAATAAACTCAAATAATAATTTAAACAAGATGTGTTTATTAATATGCTGATAACAAGCATATAAGACAGTAGGGATTAATGATAATACCATTCATGTAAAGAATATCAGCTTCAGTAACGAATGTACATCTTATCTATATAAATAGATTTGTTAATAAGCATAACTGCAGGTATTGGAGCTATAAAAATCCTCATGCTTTTGTAGAAGGGCATACCTAGTGCCCCCAAAAAATTAATTTATGGGTAAGCATTTTTAAATATAAAGTGATTGGGCCATTGTTCATCAATGGAAATTTTAATGGAGACAGTTATTTGGATATGTTGGAAAATATATACATCAATCCGCTTATCACTGGAACCACTGAACACCAAATCTGAGAGGATGGAGGCCCTACACTATGTTCTTCCGGTTCGGCAATGGCTAGAAGACGAGTTTCCGGATAAATGGATAGGGCGAAGAGGGCCTATAGAATGGCCTGCTTGATCTCCTGATTTGACGCCATTAGACTTTTTTCTATGAGACCATTTGAAATCTATTGTATTTACTCCCCGACCTGAAAGTTTGGATGAATTTCGTCAACGCGTCATCCAAGGCTGCCACATTTTTTTGAAAATGTCCGTTAGGAATTTGACCATCGCCTGTATCATTGTTTCGCCAATAGTGGGCGACAGTTGGAACATTTATTGAAATGAAATGTGTTATTTTCGTGTGTTTTTAATCGGAACAAGTTAAGATAAATAAAGATTTCTCTAATTTTCTTGAAAACAAATCGACCGATTTTGAAAAACTAAACGTCAAAACAAAAGACATCGGAAGACGTTTCGAACAAGCTGTTAATCAGTGGTTTTCGATAAATCCAAGGTGGGAAGTTTTCAAACTAACGCCCTGTATATTAGCTGCGCCAAAAGGTTTATTTCTGGTGTCCTTTTTGAAGAAAGACTGTTTTCAATGTTTAACATTTCCCCGTTCCCTTTTTGCGTCTTCAAAAACTTTGAGAAGCATTTTGGAAATCAGCACTGCACCTGCGTTGTGTGTAACTAAACCGCATCACAGAAAAACTAGTAATGAGGCATCACATACAAAACATTTTGACCGCAAATAAACATTAATGTGAGATGTAATAACTTGTTTACGTTTCATAAATATTCCTGTGTCTACCATATTTTATCACCTGTTAGTTCTCATATACTTGACCAACCAGATATTTTCTTTTCTTATCGCTCTCTTTTTGAAATTTGCATATTTAATTTCCGCAACTAATTTTTAGTATACCTATAACTCAAGTAAGTGTATTTGAGACAAGGAACCAATGGAATTATTGTCAACACAGACTATTAGCACTCAAATCGTCACTATGCACTTAAGCACTGCCGTTTCCTTCCAGCTATAGCATACAACTTATAGCTTAGACCTCCTATACTGCCATCTCTGAACCAGATGTTACATCACATCAGAGCCAAACATTGATAGCTGATGCATCCTGATGTTTAGGCAACACGTACAGCTACAAAAGAAGTACACTACAAGTGTACAATAGTTGACATCTTGTAGAAAAACCTTCACAATGTCACAAAAGACATATAACATTTTACTTCAAAACACCGACATAATGTCACTTTTCAAAATACGGTTTACCCTTGTCGGTCAGTAGGACGTGAATAAACATTTAAACATTTAACAACTACTGTATGTCGTCTATCGAAACCACAGTAATAATAATAATATAATAAACTGCTTTTATTGCTCATGTAAGTACAGGAAAAGAAAAAGTACATAAATCTGACGCAGTGAGCAAACGGCAAGGTTCGCTTTATTGACAACCATTATACTACAACTATTTAAAACTGTAATGACTCAAACGCGTGATCAACACGTGATCAGAGCTCGATCCCGGCTTCCTTCCAGTACAGCCGTATAGCGTACGACATATGTCGTTTCTGTGGCTTTGCGGTGGTCAACAGCACAGACAGTGATGGAAATAATGGCTGATTGTTCTCCGCCGGTAGAACCAATGAAATCAAAGACGCGCCTCGACCGGCAGACTCATAGGCGTCGGCAACGCATTGGAACGTGTTTCGTTGAGCGATCGCATATTGTGTGTTTTTATAAGAATTGTTGTGTGATTGTTATTGTTGTGGTTTCTGTGGTTACTGTTTTGGTTATACTTAACCATGGAGAGTACAAATGGCACGAGTGGAAGTACTGAAAGCCAGGGAACAAGTAGACGGCTTCGTAAAGCACTGAAGAGGGACGCGAAAGAAATCGTGCTCAACGAGTTCAATTATCTGAACAGAACTATGTCGCAGGGAGATGCACTCGTGCGTTGTGAAAGTATGACAGGCGTTCCAGAGTGGACCATTCGCAGGGTGGTGCATGAAAAGAAGCAAACTGGAGCTACTACTGATCCAAAGTTTAATTTGAAGGGACGAAAGGCCGTTAAATTGGATGACGATAGCAAAATAGCGTTAAGGCGAACCGTACATTCATTCTTCTTTAGAAATTAGATACCAACCCTCAAGGCTGTACATGCAGCCATCAAGGAAAATGAAATTATACCCCAAATGAGCGTCGAGGTAATGAGGAAATCCCTGCATGAAATTAATTTTCGTTACGAAACGCGTAATCGGAAGTCAGTATTGATAGAGAGACCTAAAATAGTCGCCTGGCGTCGAAAATACCTACGCGAAATGATTGAATCTAGGCGACAAAGCAGAAAAATCTATTATTTGGACGAGACATGGGTAAAGGTCACACAGTTAAAAAAACCTGGATAAACAAAAACGTAGTGAGTAACCGACAAGCAAGCATTGAAGGTTTGTCAACAGGTCTTCGTGGACCGTCAGGGAAAGGTCAAAGATTGATCGTAACTCATATTGGTATCGATAGTGGCTTTTTAGAAGAGTGTGACTTAATTTTCGTCTCTAAGAAAGGAGGTGATTACCATGACGAAATGAATGCCAGCTGCTTCGAGAGCTGGTTTCAAGGGGTACTTCAGCGAGTTGAGCCCAACTCTGTGATCGTCATGGATAATGGTTCATACCATAGTCGTCGAGCCGAACGTGTACCGACTATGGGATCTCGAAAAAGTGACATGCAGCAATGGTTGCGCGAAAAAGGAATCCCGTTTGACGATTCATGTGTGAAAGCGGAATTGTATGAAAAAATTAAACAGCACAAACCTGCGAACATTAGTTACGTGACTGATGAGATGGCCCGTCAATGTGGTGTCACTGTGCTGCGGTTACCGCCCTACCACTGTGAACTGAACCCAATAGAGCTCATCTGGGCTCAAGTGAAGGGTTATATTGCGCGCCATAACACAACCTTCAAATTACCAGACGTTAAGGTTTTACTTGAGACTTCCATACAGCTAGTAACGCCCGAAGCTTGGCAGAATGCTATCCGTCATGTTGTGAAGGAAGAAACAAGAATGTGGCAGCTTGACCACCACATCGACACCATCCTAGAGCCAGTTATAGTCAATTTCAACGAGGAAAGCGATAGCGACAGTTTATTACTGTCAGATGTAAGTGGAAGCGACGATGAATAAAGGTAATTCCCAAATTTTTTATAGTTGTCAATCTGCGCTCTTCCATCTAACCAAAAAAAGTAGTATATCAGTAATAATAACAGCAAGAGAAAAGTTAAACGTTAACACAGATTTACCCTGTAATGAGCTACAACATACTAGTGTAAAGAATATAACTGATAGCCGTTTTCCATAAGGTGGAGATTAAACGTGGTTTGACGTTCAAATAAATCATTTATTTCAATTCTCATCGATGTCGCACAATTTCGGATAATGGTGAAGATTCTTTTATATTTGGAAGTGGAAGCGTAGGGATGCAAAAATAAAATTATAATTTATAAGAGACCTGTCTAGAAGACTATTGAACAATTGAAATCCATCGAGAGGGATAAGTAGATGGATAGACATCTAATCGCTTGTAATAGGAGCATCTGCTACGAGATGGAGGCTTTCGGCCATGAATTTTTAAGTGCCTGTCTGAGTAAAATATTCAACAGGAGGAAGCCAACCTGCCTGTTTCCATTTATAACTTCTT